GTCTGTGATCCTCTGTGATCGTCTGTGATCATCTGTGATCGACTGTGATAGTCTGTGATAACATGCGCTCGACTGTGATAGTAATAGTATGTACTGATACATGCACTCGACTGTGATAGTCTGTACTGATAACATGCACTCGACTGTGATAGTCTGTACTGATAGCATGCACTCGACTGTGATAGTCTGTGATCACCTGCGCTCGACTGTGATAGTCTGTGATCATCTGTGATCGTATGTGATCATCTGTGATCGACTGTGATAGTCTGTGATCACCTGCGCTCGACTGTGATNTTCTCTTTATTTTTTTTGAATCTCAGGGGGGATATTTGTACAGGCCATCCCCCCCTCCTTCAAGAGCGGGGGAATGCATCCTCCCACTCCCCCCCCCCGGGATTTACGCCCCTGGCCTCGGGTACATATCTGTAGTACCTGATACGACAACAACCCCTTCAGTGTCAGTTATACATGATACTTACACAGCTTCTTTAGATGCTCTTGCTAGTAGCAAGCCTCGTGTTGTGGACCCTTCGATTGGTATCATGAGCTGCAAAAAGCACTTTCTAGGTACACACATAAAGACACATCTGTTCACGTACACTTGTGCACTCAGATAGGTAGATAAAATATGTGGCAGAGGCAGCAACCCGTATTCTGATCTAACTGATAAAGTATCTGTGTTATACCTTGGCACAAGTAGAATCAGTTCTGTCGTTTGTCGTGTCTGCCAGGTCGAGCCAGCGTGCCTTCAGCGGCAATCCAAGGCTGGTGCTTGCCAAACCATCTTCTCTCAATAGTTCCAACGACTTCTTGTACATCGCATTGCTTCTTAACAAAAAGTTAAATTCATTAATACAACAAAATAATTTTTACAATATATATGGGATACACTGATACGACATATGATCAGGAGCGGCGCCAGGGTATTTTCTTAGGGGGGGCAAAACCAGGGGCGTGTACAGAAGCACGCGAAGGGGGGGTCTGGGGGGCTCTCCCCCAGAAATTTTTTGAAATTAGACCCCCTTATATGCGTGTTCTGCGCAAGCAGGGGGGGTCCGGA